AGGTGAGATATTGGATTTCCCAAACTGGTTTTATCTTACTCAATTTAAAGTTCATCTTCTCTTTCTGATTTAGGTGCTGCAGTGAAAAGTGGCCTCGGCAGCGTCTCTCTGGGCCTTTTCACAATTAGTTCGTAGTTTTATGCCATCTCAGGAAATGAGGGACTTATCTTTCTGTGTTTGTGGGCTCATTTCCGTGACTCTTGTTGACCACACTCCTGGAACACAGCTGCCAACCCTGTCATTGTTTGTAGGAAAACTGAGCCTCAGCCCCAGGCCCTGAAGAGAAGAGACCTGGCCAGAGAGGGGCTTGTGTCTGGGTGCGGGGCTGCCTTGGTGGGGGAGGCGCCAGTGGAAGATTTTTGAAGACAGAAAACACAGGCAGTGACTCAGAAATGCAGCAAGCCACTAGGGTGACGCAGGAGGCTGTGTCATCTCTCTGAGTCCTCTCACTGAAATATCAAGCAGGCCAGTGCTGAGGGGTCCGCACCGCTGTGACCTCCCCCTCCAGACACTCCGCTTGTCATGACCTGCTGGCAGGGGTGCTACTCTGGTCTGATGGGAAGAGACCAGAAAGCTGTCAACATCTTGTAAGGCCCAGGACAGTCCCCACAATCAAGGGTTATGCTGCTCGCAATGTCAACAGAGCCCTAATCGAGAAACCCAGTCCTCACCCTGTCTTGAGACAGGATCAAAATTATCCTGGGACCCAGAGTTGCCTTTGCACATTGGGAACCCCCATCTCATATACACAGAGAGAGGCCAGCAGGCTGCTGGACCTGCCCGATGCCCAGTCTCCAGCCCAGGTGACTTGCACCCTGGGGACCTCACTGAGTCCAGGTCACCTCAGTTCTGTGCGACCTAAACACACACACTGTCACAGAAGGGAAACAGATGAGAGAAGCAATATCTCAGGATTCTCAACCATTTTTCTCCTCTGAGCTCAGAGAGCTTTTCCAGGACAATATTACTTTCTATTCCTATAATATAATGCAAGAAGGATTGCTCTGCTCACGTTCCAGATAGACATATTTTCCGGGTAGCTGTTCCTGACAGCCTGTTAGTGAGGAGGCTGGGTCAGAATCGATACATCCTGAAGCCCTTTTTTATTTTTACAAAATGAAAACAGCTCTTTTTTCCTGATTATAAAAATGATACATGCACATTGTTCCTTTAAAAAAAATTCAAACAGCACAGAAAAACACCAGAAAGAAAAATAAAGAATTATCTAAATCCTTTCACCCAGAGGTAAACAAATAGAAGCATGTCGGCGCTTATCTGTCTTGCTCTTTGTCTGGTGTGGGCATATACACGTTTTACCTTTACTATTTTACTTAAATCAGGGCATCACAGCCTGCAGGGCAGGCTCTGCCATGAACCCCAATCAGCAGCATCCCTGACCCCCACCTAGTAGATGCCAGAACACCCCCACCCCTAATCATGACCACCAGGTATCTCTGCAGATATTGTCAAATCTCCCCCAGGGCAAAACTCCCCCAGCTGAAAATAACCGTGACACATGGAATCACGTGTGTACTTGTGTACAAACAGATGTTTGGAGACAGAACAGTGTAGATCATGACTTTCCTATCCTTTGGTTTTGAGTATCAGTTTAGAGTTCAAGGTCCACGCTAATATTTATTTAGAAACTAAGAACTGTAGGTAAATTACTTGGCTGCCTTGAGCCTCAGTTTCCCCACCTGCAAACTGGGACCATGATAGAACAATGCCTGTGTTGTGGACTGTTGAGCCATGTCTCAGAGATGACGCTAGGGTGGGGCTGTCCTCACCACCTATCAGAGCCCCACTCTGAGGGGTCCCCTGAGTGCCTGGCTTTTGCTGCCTGCAGCAGGGTTGGCGGAGAAACCAGGCCCCTTGTCCAGAGGCGGCAGCACCTGCTCTGGGCTAGGAGTAGGGGTAAAGCTCAGGGTGACTGACTCCAGGCGCTGAGGCTACGTACTGAGCATACAGGGGCTGACCAGAGGATTGTGAGGTTCCGTCTGTGGGCTTTCATTTTAACTCAGTTCTTGTGGAAAACAGATGAGCATGGGCTGCCTCAATCAAATATGGTAGGTTTGGGGTTTTTTCCCGTGTAAACTTCAAGTTTCTTTTGAGCTTTGTATCTTTATTTATGTATTTATTTTGGTCCTTTTAAGACAGGGTTTCACTGTGCAGTTCAACTCACTGTGTAGCCCAGACTGGCCTCGATCTCACAGCAATCCTTCTGCCTCAGCCTCCCAAATGCTGGGGTTGCAGGTGTGTGCCACCACATCCAGCTGTTCTTTTGAACTTTACACATTTTTAGACACACACACACACACACACACACACACACACACACACGAGATTTATTGGAGGCTTGCTTCATTGTGGACATGGGGACCATGGGTCCAAACTCAGTTTTGTTGGATTTTTGCCATCAGCCTGTGTTTTCAGTGCTGGTGGAGAGGGAAAGGGGGCTGGCAGCCTGTCCTGTCCACCGCCTGTGCCCAGTCCTGCCCGCTGTTCTGCACACGCTCCCCCAGTAGCCTCAGGTGGTTCTATCAGGCCTCTCGGCCCACTGGCTGTCTTGTGGCAGGTCCTCAGGGCAGCACTTTTCCTTCTAGGACCAACCTGAAATGAACTCTGAGTCCTGCTGACCTGGACCTCTGCTCCTCATCTGTGCCATGGAGGTACCCAGCCACTGTAGGTTGTCAGTGTTCCTCAGTCCTCCCGAGGCCATATGCAGGCCCAGCCCCTGCCACTGCTCGTCACCAGCCTCTGTCTCCCGAGTCTGTAGGGGACTTGGCACCTGCTGTAGCACGCGGATCTGTGCGTACTCGCCTCCCCGAGGGCCCCTGGCCCTCAGTATCCCTGATGGACAGTGTGAGCTGCTGTCCTTTGCTGGAGCAGCTGGACTCACGCACTTCTGCAATGACCCCAGTCACCTCTCTCCTGAGGCAGTCAGCACCCTAGGGTGCCCTCGAATCTTACACTGCCAGTCTCTTACACAACCACCTAAATAGTCAACAAATATTTGAAGGAAAGAAGTACGAAGTAGAGAGGCCTTCCATCATGAACAGGAGATTTTTAGCGTTCCACACCCCCATCTTCCCTAGTCCAGGGGTACATAAACACATGCTCTGCTTCCTCCCTCCTCTCTGGGGGTCGAGGTGAGCAGCTCCCATTAGCAGCTCCAGGACATGCATCCATCACACACCTGCCTGCTGGCCCGGCTGCTGCCTTTGCCGCCAGCCAGAGCGTGGGAGAAGTGATGACTCAGCGCCTCCCTGGCTTAGTGACCAAGGAGCCCACTCCAGCCTCCCAGAGGAGCGTCCTCCGCCCGTAATGGAGGAATTATGTGAGGCATAATTTATAGTAAAAATCAAATGAACATTAATTCTGGTGAGTCACCCATGCAGAGCCCTATGTGGACGTGGGCTGCAGTTGAGAACCGTCACATGTCTGATCCCAGTGGGGGAAGGCCGTGCCGGGTCGTGGGGCCTCAAGTGTAGGCACTAGGGTGGCGCCAGGGCTGGGGCCTTCTTGGTGGGCTGCATCCACACTGTCTCCGAGGGGGCTGGAGCTCGGAGGGAACACCCGGCGAGCAGGGGCATGACGACTCCAGGGTAGTCACCAGCCTCACACCCAGCTTTCCATGGGCTTAGGGCCCTGGCTCTGCTTCTCCCACATGGCCACTGGAGCCACAGGTGTCCAGGGCCAGGGCTGCCAGGTCCGACGCTCTCCTTTCTTCCCTGTGTGGCCTCCTCCTGGGGCCAGGCGCTGTGACCTCTCTAGGACACCACTACCAGCCTCTTCTGGCTTCCACTGAGGTCTAGAAAGAAGTTTCCAGAATGCAAATTGGGTCGTGTCCTTTCTAAGCACACTTCAGTGGTTTAGTCCTCCTGAGTGAAATCCAGACCCGTGAAGCTTTCCCTCTGCGGTCACTGGCTACCTTCTTCTCATGCCATTCACGTGCCGCTTCCTTCAGGGAGCCCACCCCAGGACTCCCCAGCAAGCTCAGCTCTTCACTTGGCCAGGGCCTCCTCAGGGGCAGCAGGCTCTCGGCCCCACAAGGCTAAACCCGTGTTCTTCTCATCCGTGCCTGCAGCCCAGGCCAGCCTCGAGCCTCTGCAGGAAGTGTGGCCGTATCTGTGACAGCCTGCAGGGAGGGGTGGGGTGTGACTCAGCACAGGAGCTGGGGTCACACGGGACCTTTGCTTCTCCTGCCCCTCCTCCAGCCTTTCTGGACCCTTCTTCAGGGCGGGAGCATGTGGAGGGAGTGCCCTCACCCGCCATCCCACTTTCTGCCTTGGGCCCAACTGCCCAAGGGCTGCCCAAGGAGGGCTGCTCCTCCAGGCCTCCTTCCAGTGGCGGTCAGGCTCCCTCACTGCAAGTGACCATAGACCCAGCTACCCGTGCTTGCTAGGTGTGAAGGAACAGGCCACAGATGCGGCCCTTTGTAGGCGGGTGTGAACACCTGGTACCTGGTCCATTTTCTTTCTGAGAGCCTGGCACCAGCCGAGACTCACCTCAGGTTATGGAATGTCCTGCCTTTCAGATGGTGAAGAATGACAGGAGAGTGTGGAGGGATATTTTGGGCTGTAGGGGCCTCCCCTTCTACAACAAGCTGGGCTCAGACGGAGCCTCAGGGCTGCAGGGCAGGCTCTGCCATGAACCCCAACTGACCAGGGGCCTTCCTGACCCTGAGTTTTCCTTTCAGAGGCCACCAGGGCCTCGCCTAGAATGTCCCTGGAGTAGCCCTCAGCACACAGCAGCCCCCAGGCTTCCACCCTTCCTGCGCCTTGAACCCAGCCCAGCCGAGGCCCCAGGCCTCTGAGACAGTGACTCTTTCACCTTACAGCACGACTTGCCCTCCTGGACTCACTCTGTACATGGTAAGGGGACACCACTGTTACTCCCACGTGCAGGGGCAGAACCACCTGTGAGTGTGCACACAGCCACGACATGGGCAGGTATACATGCAGACACACGAATACTTCATATTGCACACCCCACATGTGTGGCTGTTCTCTCTTTTTTTTTTAATTTTAAAAAAGGGTAAAACTAAACATAACAAAACAAAGCAGATCAGAAGCAAAACAATGTAAGTGACACAAATTTCAAAGCAAGACAACAGGAGATCTACAGTGGCTACCATAATGTCTCTTATTTTCTTCTAAATAGTTGTCTATATCTTCACACACAATGAATTCATACAAAACAAAATAGTATAAAACTGGTCAGAACAGAGTGATGAAGGCATTACAGACCTTCAAAACCACACAATAGGAAAATTAACAATGGCTGCCATAATGTCTTTTGTTCTCTTCCAAATAGCTGTCCATACCTCCACGTATGTTGAAATTAAACAATACAAAACAGACTAAAACCACTCTGAACAAAGAATAGAAGCATTATCGGGTTTCACAGCATAATGATACGGAATCAGCAATGGATACCATAGTGTCTGTTTTTCTTCAGAGTAGCTGTTCATTTCATCACACATAATACAACGGATTCTCATAAACTGTTTAGAAGTTCTAGGCATGTATAACCCTCTACATGTACACCTCTCCTTTCTGCATTAGAGGGAAAAACCAAACCAAACCAAACCAAATAAAACAAAACAGATTGCTAGAAAAATAAGAAACAAAAAAGACAAATAAATAACAATAGCAAAGAACCCAAAACAACGACGATACAGGCCTTTAAAACACAGTGCTAGGAACAGAACTAAGGTTGATATTTTACACAGTGATCTTCAAGAGTTCCTCAGGTCACCTGACACAAACATGCAAAATTGTTCCAATCCTGTGAATATTAACCGCTTTGTTCGATGGACTTACAGAATCTGTAGCACAGTCAGCTTAGCTATCCTGAGTGTGTTTATATAAATTTAGATATTTTTTCTTTTTCCACCTTTTCCCTGAGATATCCCCCCCCCCCCTTTGAGGAGATTCTTACTATACTTTTTGAGGATTTTGTTAGATCTCCTGTTGTCTTGCTTTGAAATTTGTGTCACTTACATTGTTTTGCTTCTGATCTGCTTTGTTTTGTTATGTTTAGCATTTCTTACACTAGGGAGACAATACAATATTTACTCATGTGAGTTTGATTTATTTCACTTATGAGTATGGTCTCAAGTTGCATCCACTTACTTATAAATATCTCAATGTGATCATTCCTTATAGCTGAGTAGTACTCCATTGTGTAAAAAATAACACATCTTTTTTATCCATTCCTCAGTTGATGGGCATTTGGGTTGCTTCCAAGATCTGGCTATTATAAACTGTGCTGCTAGAAACACGGGTGCACATGGCTGTTCCCTTCTTTATCTGTGAGTGTCCAGCTGTGAGCTCAGAGGGCTTCCATCTCTGTCCTTCCCTGGACCCCAGGATGGACCCAGTCCCTCTGACCTGGTCTCCTTGTCTTAGGGGACCAGGGCATCAGGCTGGTAGGTGTGAGGGCAGCCTGCAACTCACGAATCCAGTGTACCCTTCTCTGCGGTGCCCACTTCATCTGAACTCTGTGGCTTCCTGGCCGCTCTGAGCTCACATGGCTGCACTGGAGTCTTTATGGGTATGGAGATGCATCTTTATTTGTTCTTATTAGGACATGCTGCAGCACATCGTGACTCCATTCACATGGGGAGGTGGCCCATGTACACACATGCATCTGAATTCTTTTTAGGGGTCCTCCCCAGCCCTCCATCTCCTCTCATCCCCTTCTCATTTGCAAACACAATCTATCTGTTTCCTATTGTCTGTCTTTTATTTTGTTCTTTATTTTGCTTATATTTTATACTTTTTTCATATAAAAGAAACCATGTGACATTTAAGCCTGTGTGTCTGATTTATTTCACTCAACATTTTAGTATTGAGGTGCATCTACTTTCCTATAAATGACTCAAGTTTACCCTTCATTTGCAGGGCAGTCTCTGTTACAACAAACACCACGTTTGCATTCTCCATTCATCTGCTGACGGACATACAGGCCACTTCCACAATCTAGCTATTCTGAGTTGTGGTGCTATAAATGTAGATATACATGTATCAAAATATACCTTTGCTGGGGATTTAGCTCAGTGGTGTAAGTGCCTGCCTGGCAAGCATGAGGTCATGAGTTCGACCCCCAGTACTGGAAAAAAAAAAAATATATATATATATATCCTCTAACTTTTTCAGGAAGACATCTAGAAGGGGAATACCTGGGTCCAGGGGAATATTTAGTTGTAGCTTTTTGAGAAATCTCCATACTGATTTCCATAGTACTTGTACTAGGTTAAATTCCCAATGATAGACTATAGAAGGCTTCCTTTCACACACACACATGAACTCACCAGCAATCATTCTCTCTCTCTCTCTCTCTCTCTCTCTCTCTCTCTCTCTCTCTCCCCTATGTAGCCCAGGCTGACCTCAATCCTGTGGTGAGCCTCCTGCCTCAGCCGGGTATTATTTGATTTGATGGTCGCCATTATTTGTGGAATAAAATGGAATCTCAGTATTAATTCCTGTTTCTCTAATGGTCAGAGATGTGAAACATCTTTTCATGTATTTATGGGCCATTTGCACATTTTCTAAGGAAAAAAGTGCCTTGTTTTTGGCTGGGTCTTTTATTATGGTACATCTATTTTTTTTTAATTCTTTATACATTCTAAACATTGTCCAACGAGTAGCTGGCAAAAAGTATTTTCTATTCTGTAGGTTCTCTTCACTGTTGTTTCCTTTGCTGTGCAGAGGCTTTTTAATTTGATATGATCCCATTTGTTGATTCTTCATGTTATTTCTGGTGCAATTGGGATTCTGTTCAGAAAGTCTTTGCCTATGCCTATGTCCTCAAGAGTTTACCTATTAAATCTTCCAGCAGATTGTTTTAATATTTAAATCTTTGATTCATTTTGATTTTACTTTATAAAGTACATGGTAAGAGATACGTGTCTAAATTCAGTCTTCTGCCTATGGACAGCAGTTCTCCCAGCACCATTTGTTAAAGAGGTGATCTTTCCTCAAGGGTTTGCTTTTGGGCCCTTTGGCAAAGATCAGATGGCTGAACATGCCTGGCCCAGAGCTTCTGCCCACCTGCCCTCAGTTTCCCCCGTTACTTGGCTGTGTACTAATAAAGCGACGCTGATGCATTAGACCCAGCCTCGGCATGCCCCTGCACTGGTCCTCGCTCGCCACCCTTCCCTGGCCTCACAGCTCACCAGAATCCCATAGGACGTCGGTCATATCTTCTTAGACTCCTCTGAGAGCTCCTTGTGTTCCATGGCATGGAAGTCCTGGTCATGGATGTTGCAGAATATGGGTTGCTGATTGCTTGGTTCTTGTTAGACTGGGTAGGTGGGCTGGGGAGGCAGGCTGTAACAGTGTACACCTAGATGTCTCCTAAAGCCTCAGGGAAGGATGTCTGCAGGGTGACTGCATTGTGGGAATGCTGCAGCTGACTTGCTGTAGGAGGTGGGCTGGCCAGAAGAGGTGGGCCATGGTGGACGTGACCAGGAAGTTCTACCTCCCTTCCAGGATCTTCTCTGGGCTTTCTCTGCTTCCTGGGCTGCCATGACACAAGTACTTATTTCTTTGCCATGCCTCAGTGCCAGGCTGTCCCATCTTGGAGCCAGAGCACTACAGACAGAAACCTCCGAACTGTGAGTCAAACTCAATCCCTCCTTTAACCTTGGGGTATTGGGTATTTTGTCCCAGTGACAAAGAGACAGACTTGGAGGTGAGGTGCCTGCTCACCTCGCTGCACCCATATGTGTACTGTGCACAGGCCTTGTCACTCACGGAGCTCATCTCTGTTGCCTGCTGAGGGCACGCGTGCCAAGTTTCCCCAATGTAGAATTCAACCCTCTTTTAATATCACACTCTTTGGGAGCAAGTCACCAAACATCACCCAGACTTAAGGGCTGGGGAGTTTGTTCCATCTGCTTAATGAGTAAGTCCCTATCGGAACTGTTCTCTAGAAGGGATGTGTCTCTTCTGCCTACTAACTAGAGTCACAGATATTTAGGTACTGGGTTACAGTCCAGGACTTTGTTTGTTGCACTTTCCATTTTGGTCCTTGGGAGCTCTCTCCGTGGGCAACTGTGTCCCCCTTGAGGTTCCCATGTCTGGCTTTCTGAGCACTTTCTGATCGCCTAGCTCCCAATGTTCAGGCTCACCTTGCAGCAAGGACCAGATATTGTCACTAAAGCCTGGTTGTTCTCACTGGAGAATGCCACCAGGACCAAAATTTGGGTGCTAGCATTTCTTCCAGTCCATCGGAGGCTCCAGACAGAGCCGGGAGCCATGAGTGTGCACATGGACCTTGTGTGCACACCTACAGAGAGACTGCAGGGCCAGTCGCAGCCCTCGGGAGAATGATTTCTTCATCTATTCATTGGGCTCTGCAAAAAGCTACATGTAAACCAGCACTGGGGTACATGCCTGTGCACCTTCCTAGGGGTCAGGGAAGTTGAGGCAGAAGGTTCCCATGTTCGAGACCAGTCGGGGCAACGTAATGAGGCCCTGTCTCAAAAAGTAGGCTAGGAATGTAGCTCGGTAAGAAGACCCTGGGCTCATGCCCCAAACCCAAAACAAAAGAAACATCCTCATATCACCAGACCCCCTGGGAGGTCACAAGGCTTCTTGGCACTTCCTCGCCCTGTGGCCGTATAGTCAAGGTGGAATTTCAGGAGTGCAAGGGGCCCGCAATACATTTGCATTTTTCCTTTTTCTTTCTGGTTAAATGGGTTGAGGTGAAAACTGTTACAGCAAGGGCTCTGGCCTTCTCTGTTAGCGCTGCTGGCAAGGGCTGAGTCCTTCAGCGGCATGTGTTGGAGTGGTGGCTCCTGCTCGGCTCTCCTCTGCAGGCCTCCGCCATGCCCTTAGCCTCTTGTGCCATTCCTTCATGGTCTCCCCACCAAATCCTCCCGCTGTGTGTGTGGAGGGGGTGACCCAGGGCTGACTGTGTCTCACAGGGTGTCCTAGCAGGGTACAGGTCCTCAGTCTGCCGTCTCCCGGACAGCTCAGCTCTCAGCAGCTCTACTGCTGACCCCTGGCCCTCAGCAGCCTGACCTCCTGCATGGTGGGCACCCGCTGAGTTCCACCTCGGTTCCTGAGAGGCCCAAGTAAGAATGGACCTCAGGGGTCCTTGGGCCCTAGAACTCTGCCTACTTTGGGTAGTGCTCTTATAGTGGGGCAAATACTCTGAAGAGAATTTGCTCTAAGGATTGAGAGTTCTGCCCTCGCTTCCGCTCTCAGGACAGCTGGGGGACACCCTTGACCCAACCCCTCCTGGCCACCCCAAAGCCTCCTCTTGTCTGTTCTACACCTCAAGTGCAGCAGCTGCTCTGCTTCCAGGAAGTTTCGCTGCCTTGTTCATGTCTGTGGGTCCTTCGCCGTCTGGCCATTCACCTCGCAATTCCCTGCGCGGGGTGCATGAGGAAGACGGGTCTGTCCCGTGGGGTTAGGTGCCGGGGGAGGAAAGCACTAGGACGGGTGGCACGCTGTGCCGTGGTAATCACTACAAAGGCAAGGCCCGCTGGGAAGCCGGCTGGTCGGGTGGAGGCTGAGGGGTCCATCTCCCCGAGTAATACCCAAGCAGTGACCACTGCAGAAGCAAATCGAGCACATGAAGTGAGAAGGGCTAGCGCACTTGGTTTGTGGACTTCAGCAAGCGGACAGCTGGGCGCTGCACAGAGCAAGTAAGAGAAAGACATCAGCCACTCCTGCACAAATTTATTGGGCACCTACTGTGTACCACGTGTGGAGACAAGACAACGTAATGAAGCACCCAGCGGCGAAGGTGTTGCCCCAGGCGCTCACTCTGGCGGAGGCGGACAACAGAGGGATTTTCTAGCCAAAGTCCAAGAGGCCTGCGTGCTGTGAAGCCACGGACAGTGGGTGGCTCCTGGGGAAGGCAGCAGGGCAGGTGCGAAGGGCGTCAGAAAGGTGCTGGAGTCCGGGCAGCGGGCCGTGGTTCTTCTCTCCCAGATCAGCACAGGCTGTGGGTGCGGAGCTCTGTAGAGTCCTTCTGGAGAGCCTCCACCCAACCCTCTGAACTTAGCACAACAGGATTGAGGGGGGGCCCTCTGGAAGAACCCTGTTCGGCCACCTTCCACACGAGGCTGTGCCCACTGTCCTAGGGTACTGCGGGATCCTCCTCAGCCCTTCCAGCCACGTTCCCTCCCTGTGGCCTGGGCCCGCAGTAGCCCCCAGATACCAGCAGTCCCTGCACAGGGCTGTGACCACCAGCCTGGGACCTCGGCCAATGGACCTCTTCAGGCAGGGCTGTGGGGAAGATCCAGGGAGTCTGGGAGAATGTGCTGGGCCACGACTGCCCCAGGACTCCCTCTGGTGTGCTCGCCAGGCGGTCAGGAGATGAAGACCTCAGGCAGGGCTGGAGGAAGAAGCCTCTGAGGACAGCCTGCAGTCCTAAATGTCCCTGTGGTCCTGGACAGAGAGGAGGGGGATGAGTCTGTGGCTCTCTGCAGCCAACGGACTCATTTATTATGGAGCAGTACAAAGTGTCACTCTACGAATGCTGCCTGTTCACGTCTTTCACAGCAGCTGGTCGACGGTTTCCCCCTTACTGTCTGACGTGGCATGGCAGCAACCTGGTACAGTAAATCCTCTCATCGTAGGTGGCTTTGGGTGGAGGATGCGCCACTGTAAATTAATTCAGCCATCCTTAAGAAGGCCAGCAGTGAGCATAAAACAAACTCTGACCATGGCCTCCGAGAGGCCTCCTTGCCGGGCTGCTGTGTTCCAGTGAGAGGCACCTTGACTCCGACTGGCACCTGCAGATGGTGACTCAGAAGCCTGCAGGACAGAGTTCTGCTGGAGGGTGGAAAGCAGTCCTCGGCGCCCATGCTAGGGGAAACTCTCCCACAGAGGGCCAAGACTATGCTCCCGCCCAGGAGAAGCTGAAGCAGGGCCAACCCAAATCAGGGAAAGCACTCATGCCTGAGGCTGAGTGCCCCACAGCGACGCCAGGACTTTCAAGATGGTACAATGGAGGCACCAAAGAACCTAAAAGAAGAAAAGCTTGGGAAAAGAAGAGAAATATGAGAGGAGGGGGTACCAAGCTAAACAAAAGCACACGCACACACATCCTCCCTAAGTCACACTTACGGAACTCAACTCAGTGCTGTCTTCCAAAGGCCAAACAGCCATCAGCAACACATTTACCGGCAGTCTTAATCATGTCCACTGAGATGACAGAGAGGCAGTCTCAGTTTTGAAAATGGAGCCCCAGTTCTGATGAAGGAGAGAAGGTTGAAATAATATAAGTATGGTGTCCCTATCCCCACGGTCTTTGTGTCTGATCTTGGACAAATTATCTGCTCACATCTACTTCTTCAGGACTATCAGCCAGGCAAGTAAGGAGGGCCAAAAGTCATGCCTAGAGAAGGCTTTCAGGAAATCCTCCAGTTAGCCAGAGAAAAGGAACAGAACTGTGGTCCTCCTGCTGCTCCTGAGGAGCAGGGACAAGGGAGGAGCAGCAAGAGACGAAATGAGACCACTGTATCTGTCCTCTAGCTCACGACAAAATGGCGGAGCTGGTGGAGACCCACCCCTCATCATGGGCAACAAACCTAGGCCTGTGACTCAACCGTGACTTACCTGTGACCAGAGCAAAATGGAGCAGCCAGCACTGGGTATCAGGTCCAAGAGGTGCCTGAGGCAAAGGGGCCCTCGCAAGGTACCTTCAGGGGATTCTCCTGAAAAGGGGCACTCGACCAGCCACCAGCATCATCACTGCAGCTGTCCCATCCAGTGGAGAGGCACTTGGGCACTTAGGCCCCACTGGAGCTCCCAGCGTGTTAATTAATCACGCAGAGTAAGACCACAGCTCTGGCACTGGCCCCACGAATGTCAAGGACACCCTTGGCGATGCCCCCACTGTGAGCACCAGCTAGCTGCCCATTGCAATGACCCAGTAATGTCTATCAGCCTGCCATGCTCCTTCTGCACTCAAGAAATGGCCCCAGGCAGTGACAACCCATACTGTTCAACGTCACAAAATAGAAATGGAAAAGCACCTTGACCCTGCCAATCTGCTGTGCTGCCACGAGGATCAGCTGATGCCGTCAGAAGGGCCAGCGGAAGCTAATAGCAGCACAGGCTCTGCCCACGCAGGTCCTTCAGCCCAGGCTGCCTCTGCCCGATGGGTGGCTCTATGGTCTCACAGCCCTCCATGACTGTCTCACATGCGCCATGTCTGTCCTTCAGGCTGCGAAGAAGCAGCTCTGATGTCATTCTGATCACTGGAGAGCTGAAGAAGATTCCAGAAGAACCAGAGGCCCTTCTGTACACTGTCAAGGAGGCTACCTCAAAGAAAAACCTCTCTCCAATGGAATGTCAATAAATAGTCCCCAGACTACTCAACCCCCATAAAATTCAGGCTACCTGTCCACTTTCTTTCACACACCCATGAGCAAGTGCTGTGTGCCCCCCACCCCATGCACCAAAGCCACCAACCTGCCCAGCGTGTCCACACCTGGGCCAACAGGTCTCCCAGGTGCAGACGTGGATGTCTAGCACACTCCGTGCTTTTCACTCACCTGGACTCCAACCCCAGCTTGCTGCAGCCCACCCTCACCCCAACCCTTCCCACAGCCAGGCTGGCTTCCTGCTTCCCGACCTCTTCCACTCCAAGGCCTCCACCAACTGCCCTCTCGGCCCAGTGAGCTCCTTCCCAGGTTGCTTTACGGCAGGTTTTCAGCTCAGCCCAAGTACTATCTTGGATCCCTTCCCTAACTAGACAGCTACTGTGAGGAGTCCGTATTAGTGCACCCTTCTAAGGCCAGTTCACAACGGCCATCATAAACAGCCTGGTAAGTGGAAAGGCTTCTCTGTACCAAGAAGACTGAGCATGAGGCAGCAAGCAGCTGACGCTAGTGTCGCCCTTGCAGTCCACAGGGGAGGACTTGACTTCAGGGGACCAGAACCTTCACGCAGACGAGGCAGTTAATGCCTCGCCATGATCACAACCATCATGGCTTCTTCCCAAGACCTGGCGAGCCAGAGAGATCTCTGGAAAGCTAGGGAAAGGGAGGACACAGAGTAAGAATGGGTAATTTAGGGGTTGTATGATCCTCAACCAAGGGTCCCAAAAGAAACTCCCCGTCCTCTACCCTCCTTTCCTTTGTGCTAGACAGCAAAGCCCAGGTTCCAGAGCTGCTATGCCTTTCAGAGCCTTCTAAGTCAGTCCCCACCCAGCTGGGGCTGAAGGTGGCTCAGGGACACACAGATGTTACGTTGCCACAGTAACCGCCCTAACCCTGTTGTACTTCTGTTCAGGTTACTAAGTATCCAAAGCAAACTGGGCAGTCATAGGGCTCTGCAGGCCGGGACTAGGCTCCCAAGGATGTTAACTACGCCTTCCTTTCCTATGCCCAGCCACTGGGTGTCCATCTATGATCCCAAGTCTCCAAACCAATGTCATGGCAAAGTCAAGGAGGGCCTGGCCAGCAACTCAGTTGCTGGGTCCCTGCCCAATTCTGATGGCCCTTGTTCCTCCAAAGATAATAATAGCTCCACTTCACTGCAGGGAGAGCAAGTGCAGATGCCTACGGAGGCCAGGCCCCACTCAGAGATGAGTGACAGGGCCGGGTGGTGACAGGCAAGGTGGTGGGTTTGCTGCTGACCAACAGGGGGCAGCCGCTCCCTGCCTGAGGACTGCTGGTAGGCAGTGACAGCAGGCCTCAGGTGAACCACAGGCTCTGCTGGGCCAGAAGTCAAACACCCAAAGGTTTCCATGAAGTCTCCTAACATGCAAAGTCGGTGAGCATCATCATTTAGACTTCTGAAAGCGCCACATGTTTGAAACACGCCACGTCTCTGGGTGGGATGGGCCTAGGCGGCAGTGTTTCCCATGGTAGTATTTGTGAATTTGACTGTTCACACAAGGGTTCCCTTCAGCAACTCCTGGCTGAGTTGAGTGTCGGTGCTTTGCTTGTATTAATTCTTGTCCTGCCCTTCGCCATGTAAGTAAATTTCCTGAGAGGAGAAGGAAGCTGCTCCAAGGCCCGGAGTGGTGAGCAGGGTCCTGAGGCTGGAGCTCGTCCCTCTTGGGTGCCAGCTCCCCCACCACCCCTGCGGCCGGGGGCTCGGCCCTAACCTCTGCACTCCGGGCCTGTCCTTGGCTTTCCCACAGCTCCAGCCAGCCTGGCCCCAGCACCTGCTCACATCCCTCACCTGCCCTCTCACCACCTGCCTGGCGCCTACTGCTTACTCACAGGACCCTCCCGCTACCTCTCCACGGGTACTTCACAGGCTGGGCTTCTGCCCAGGCCCTAATCCCAGCCGACTCTCCGAACCATATCTAGGCAGGGCAACACAGCGTCCGTCCTCCAAATTCCCCTGCCCCTGGACCCTGCTGCCAACCGAGCCTCTATTTGGCCTGTGACATTTAAAAATATCTGTCCAGCCTTGGCATATAGAACCCAGCACTCCCTGGGTTGTTGGAATACCACTGCCTCATTTGGCCCACAAGCCTCCCTTCCAGCCCAAGGGTACGTGGACCACAACACAGGCCACCAGACCCTCTATGCCAGTCCCGCCTATCCTAATTTGGCCCTGCATCACATGAACTCTCAGTGTGAGCCCACCCATTCCCCTACAAGGAGAAGACAGTCACAAGCTTGCGGGTCTTTTGAGCGGCAGGGCAAAGTGTGGGCCATCTGTAGGCCCATGGCAGAGGAGCACATGCCTGGAGCATGGTGTGATGGCCACCACAGCTGTCCTCCCCTCCCTGGCTTCCGACCCCCGCAGGCCCCACGGCCCCACTATTAATATAGTGCAAAGAGGCCCAGCAGCTGGCCAGGGCGCGATCTTTCCACACTGACGGTAACAGCTGCCACCATGCTGATTTGGGCTCCATATGTTCCCACCGCGCATTCCTTCAGGAGGGGCACCACTGAAAGCTGCCTTGGGCTCTCTTACTGAAGGTATGTCTGCTTTGGCCCTGCAAGAGGGGTGGCTAATGATTACTTTAGGGTCTCGAAAGACAGCCAGACCGATGCCTGGCAGCTGTAAGAATCCCTGGCACTCCCAGGAGCCAGGGCCTGCTCCCTGAACAGTCATCAGCGCACATTCGGGCAGAAGTCTGAGGCCACGGGCTGCCTCCCTGTCAGCTTGAACTCCCAGGCCTAGTGCAGTGCCAGGCACGGGGTGCAGCTAACTACACACCAGTGGAACATCACTTTACTTTTTCCCAACATGCTCTCTTTCGGGGCAAAGAGCACCTTCAACTTACCGACTTACCCCCAGGAATGCAGAAAGAGCACACTAGCACTCGAGGTTATGTGGCTACAAACTCAGAACAGAGAACTCATCGTATGGTCCAAAACTGCCAGGGCAAATGATGTGCTTTCCTGGGGTTTCCCTCCAAAGACTCCAGCAGAGAAGAGGGGGTGCAGAGAAGCTGACGCAGGCAGTCACTACGCCTGAGCTCAGGCCTCAGGGCTCATCACCACTTCTCTACCTTGAAGTGCTTGGACATTTCCACAAGAACAAGTTTAAAAACATACACATGAGGGGCTGGGGATTTAGCTCAGCGGCATAAGCGCCTGCCTTGCAAGCAGGCAGTCGTGAGTTCGATCCCCGGTACCGATAAAAAGGAAAAAGACAAAAAAAAAAAAAAAAAAATACACATGCAAACAATATTCAACGAATATTTACCAAGGGCCCCATATATGCTGAGCACTTTCTTGATTGGTACAAAAACAAGGTGAGCAAAGTCCCACCACGCAGCAGGGCTTGCCTGGCTTCCTAAAATGATCTGGAGCCACAGAACAGAGCGGCCACTCCCCAGGGAGCCCAGAGAGCTAAAACAGCTCCACTCCATGCTTTGGGAGTTCAGGACTGGGGTCTAGGAACACACCAGAGGAGTAAGGCGCTGGCCTAGCACAAACGCAGCCTTGAATTCAGTCCCCAGCACCACAAAAACAAATAATGAAGTGCATTTCATTATGTAAAAATAGTCCCACAGAGCCCTGTGATCCAGAAGAACACCACAGGAACATCACTCCCTGGATTGGTCTTTCCAACACGAGGTGACCACGCACACTGGTGGGTTTATCTGATGCGCGAGGTGAACATTTTTAAGTTTTGCCATGTGTGACTCGGTTCCTCCTGCTTTTAGACGTCACAAAGGAGCCCTATACCCCAGGATGAATCCATGCTTTTAGGCCCAGGCTCTTTCCTGGCAACCCATCAAGCACAGAGAGAACAGACATCTGAAAAGGACCCCCCCACGACACACACAGATCTCCAGGGAAGAGGAGAACACGGCAGGGGGCGGGGTGAGCGCCCTGAGACGGGCTGGAACGCAGCTGGAGGACAGCTTCCCAACAGTCAGCAGCAAGTAAGGAGCCTGAGCCCGCTCGATGCCGTTTGGGACATGGCTCCCCCAGGCAAAGGGCGTGAGTTAAGCCCACCATTGATAAGCCCATCTCAGCTCCATCTGCAAACACAAATATGTGAGGCGAAGGCAAATGTCATGGTACAGGCAGAGAAGACAACTACATCTGTCGACCTGTTATTAGGAGGCAAATGTCAGGGAGGGAAAGCACGCCCCAAGTCAGTGAGTGCTGGTAAAACCCACAGGCTGCAGCTGGCTGCAACCAGAATCCTCGCCACCATGCCTCAACGTTTCACTAGGTACTGGGATCAAAATCTAATTTGTCCCCATTAGTGGGGAAAATGTGTTAGACACACAAGACCACTTCCCCATCTTTCCCAGGGACCAACCAACCGCTCTCTGAGGTCAATGTCTAGCCTGTACAGGGCTGGACAGACAGTCAAGGTGGTACGCAGGCTGGCTCCTGAGGGGACAGGGCCAGTGCTGGCCATTTATCTTCGTATGGGTATTAAAAAGTACTTAAGGGGAAGCCAAGCGATGGTGGCAAGTTTTTAATAGTGTTGGTAAAATTTTCCTTTAAAAACAAACCCATTGATGGGAGATCTGGGGATGGGGGAGATGGGTGAGAGGGGGCGGGGAAGTAAAAAGATCAGGAAGTGATGTGTATGTGCACACTAAATCCTCCACACAGAATATTTACTATGCATCACAAGAATACACTAATAAAACATTGAAAGAAAAATCCAACAAGCCCATTCTCAAGTGGAAAATACATCGATTTAAGGAAACTGTAAAAGGTACCTACAGGATGGGAATATAGCAAAAAACACAAAGGCAATATAAAAGTTTAAACAAAAATGGCCTCAAACTCCTAAGACATTTCTAAGGGAACACACATTTTTCCTTCTAAATTTCTAAGTAACTCTGGGCTCAGTTTTGACTGCAGTCTGTACTTACAAATGGCCAGAACCCCCCAATCCAGACCAAACTGGTCTGCCAGGAGAGGATATACCA